ACTATATAATTATAGCTATATGGTTTAATTAAAAATATTCTCAACTTTTGTTCTTAATGTGATTAGTTAGTAATGGCAATAGTATATAGCTATAATTACTTTTATATAAAAATTTTTATTGGCAATTTATAAATCTCAAAAAATAAATATAAATAAATATGTTAGTTGATAAGTATATCATACTACAGTTATATAGTTTTAAATTTTCTTTAAGTGAAAAAACTTTTAGTATAAAAAGAATTGATTATGTTGCATATTTCTGTTATAGCTTCAATTTATAAAAGATAGATAAAAATACAAAATACATAGTGATTAACAAAATTGCTGCGGCTGATCAATGCACCACCAACCTGGCACACATTCAAGAATTGCTAAATATGCAAATAAAAATATAATTGAAGTTTTATCAAACATTATCTTTAAAATAAAGATTATAATTGATACTTGAATGATGTTTTTGCTATTTATTGATTCTTGTTAATTCGAAATTGATATATGTCATTTTTGAATCAATGAATGTCATATTTGATATGTCATACAGTATGAGGTTTACTGATTAATTAAAATATCTATATATTGTCTAGCGATGAAATAATTAAATATTTTATAAAGGCATTCATTCAGAAGCTTCTTAATCATTTTGAAAAGATAAAGTTTATAAATCATGAATAACATATACAGCAATATTTTTTTGTAAATTCAAATTGATACTGCATTTACCAGCTAACCTTTATTAATACAGTATATTTTTATTTTAATTAATAAAACTTTGAGAATCAAGTTTTAAAATTTGGTTCTAAACCAAACTTTAAGTTTGAAACTTAACCCTCTCTTTGTATAAAAGAATCTAATGTCATCTGAATCTTTGAAAATGAAGCTTGTAAGCAAATTTCTTACTATAATAAACGTAATATTTAGAGTGCAGTATTGTGATTAGTAATAGTTGTATTAAGAAGACCGATCACAATACAGAGAGCATTGAGTTTGGCTGAGTTTGAGAGTGGGTAAAAGAAAAAATACCATTATTTAGTTTATCAGCACCACTATTATGTTCCGGGACTGCTAATTCTAGAAAGTCAGTATCTGTAAACTCTTGATGTACCAGATCTATCTCTTCTAGTAGGTTCATATATTAAGCAAGACTCATAAGGTAGCAAGGAGACAATAATCTGAGCGATTCTTTCAAATCTGCTACAACAGATGAATCTTTATCATTTGGATGGACTTCATATATAGTAGCAGAAATTTTATAATCAAACAAGCCAGTATGGCAAAAACAGTTTGAGATAGTCTTTGAAGGAATTGAATACCAGGCCCAAACACACTATTGCATTGCCTTTAGTTGTTCAACTTTATATATATCAGATTCCTCAGCCTCATCACGATCAATAGCATGTTGTAATAAGAAACAACGATAATGGTGTTTAAAGATGGCAATAATGTCTGTGTCTATTAGTTGAAGTTTTGAGGTTGTTCTTGGAGGTAAAGTAACAACCTTTATATTGGTAAGGTCTGCATCTCCAACTATATATGAAGTTGTACCATCAAAAAGAAGAAGAATGTATTAATTTGATTCTTGTATCATATTATTAAAGTTTACAATCCATTCTCTAAAAAGAAGTCTGGTTATCTAGGCCTTCTTATTATTGTAGTAATAAAATCCATGTTGTTTTTCAGTTTTGCTTTTAAATGACCTTAGTTTTTTTGAGTGGCCAATAAAAAAAAGTTCTAACATGTGAGAACCATTTGCATTAGAGATAAGAGCAACAGTAAAGCATATTTTATCTATTTTGCTATCTTTAATTTGCCTTTTGGCAATTATTTTGTCTGGAGCCAATCTGTAAAATAGACTGGTTTCATCTATATTGTATATGTCTCTTGCAGTATACTCACTAATAGTTGCATGAAGTTTAGGTAGACTTTTTTCAATTGCCTCATTGTCAGCTGACCTGCTTTCTTCATATATCTTGTACATTTTAAAGCCATAACATTGCTCAAATAAGAGTAGCCAACCAACTGAAAAATTAGGTGTGTTACGATCTTGAAGATTAAGACCAAGTTGTGTAGCAAATTTTTTTCCTTTTTCATATATCAATTTCTCAGTTAGATGAATTCTTTTGGCCTGACATTGCAAAACCCAATTAGCTAGTGCTTCATCTAGCTGTGGTTGAAGAATAGTTTACTGGTATTTGACTCTGAGATTCTTTTTATTATATATTTTAAGATATTCATCTTTTTTTGCAAGAATCCATAAAAGTGTTGTTTGATTGGGAGCATTGTTAAGACCAAAATTTTCCTTGGCTTATTTTGTGAGCCCTTCTTGTGTAAGAGTCAGATCATTTTGCTTTTGTAAGCAAATTTTTTTGTGCTAGTCATTAGTAAGACTAATTTTTTTTGAGAACATAAAAGAAAAAACCAGGTAGCTAGGTGTAAAAATTTTGATTACTAACCTTTTTTTGTTTTTTGAATCCTTAATATTATTACATATAGACCACTATATAAATACAATGAAATACTATTTTTATAATAAACATGAAGCTAATTTTTTCTCAAATTTGTTCACAATATTTCCTAAATTTTTCTACCATTATGAATCTTATATTTAGCTAATCTATGCTTTTTTTTATTTATCTTATTTTATTTATTTTCTTTTTATTTATTTATTTATTTGTTTATTATTTTTTTTAATCTTTGTATGTCATTTTTCATATCAACTGATATAAGCAAGTTGTTTTTTGGTTTTTTAATTCAGATGTTTAAAGAAAAAATTTCTTTATAACATTTATATGACATAGGTACATAAATCTTTTGCTATTTATTTCATGTAACTTCATTCCTTCATGCCTTACTAATGCCACTGCTAACACATCTGAATCATGGTTACAGGCAAAGGTATATACATATTTTTTGATTTAATTAATTGAAGAAAGAATTATATATGTCCATACTATCTTTTTTTTTATATATATGTATGTATATACATATATACAAATTTAAACTATTATTTACTATCGCTAGAATACATTTTTTATGCACTTTGACTCTAATAAAATACTAAAATAGTACAAGATTATGCACTTTAACTTTGTATATATAATTGCTGCATTTTGTATTAAACTATATTGAGTATTTAATTGTTATCTTGTTATATGATCGATCAAATTTGCATATTAATGCAGCCCAGTTTTTTTGAACAATGAAATTACAAAATATGGGGATAATTGGCGCAGTGTATAGATAGAATTTGATTGGCTATTCGTTATATTACACGAGCTATCCTTACTGTCTTAATGCATATACTGCTTAAATGTATAAATAATTACTTAACAGAGAGTATGCATTTAGACAGTATTGACCGTATAATTATTTAATAATTAACTACTAAAAATTTGGCTAATTATTATTTCTAATTGACTAATATTTTATATAATTAAAAAAAAATATTTGAAAGTGTTATAAAAATAATTTATTTAAAATTTGAAGAAAGAAAAAAAGTAAAAAATTATATTTTTTTAAAAAATATATTAAAGTATATTTTTTAAAAAATAAAATAAATTGATATAAAAAAAATAATATTTATAAATATATAGTTACAAAGTGAGTTGTAATACAGAGTAATATAGTATAGAATATATTTAATTATTATATTATTATTATTATAGTACAAGTTTACTAAAACACATCAGTGGTGCTAATACTACATCAATTATATCCAATAAAATTATTAATCTGCTGTGTAATGTAAAAATTAGGTGTAATATAAAAATTAATTGTTTTTCAAAAAATCTTTAATAACTCAAAATTTTGCTTGTAAAACTACCTTTAAAGCTTTAACAAAAAAAAATTCCTTACAAAATTTTGGTATAAATTATACTCCTGCTTTAATACAAACTTTAGTATTAATTCTAATACTAGTCAAATTTATTTTTATTTATTTATTTGGTTTGATAATAATTTTTATATTATACAGCATACATAATATACTGGTATTAGCACCACAAGTGTGTTTTAGTCAACTTAATTATAGTATTAGTATTAGATTTATTAGTACAATTAATTAATATATTATATATCATATTGTATTAGTTATAGTTAATTATATTTAGTTATAAAGAAGATTCTATTATATAATAAAATATAGCACAGTAGTGCTGTGGCTAAGTAAAATAGTATATAATATAAATATTTTTGAGTGTTTTTACACAAAGTGCCTTTAAGTACTTCTATACAAAGTATCTTTAAGTGCTTCTATACAGTGTCTTTAAGTGCCTCTATACAAAGTATCTTTATACAAAATGTATTTGAGTGTCTTTATATAACATATTTCTAAGTATCTTTATACAAAGTATCTCTAAGAGCCTCTATACAAAATACCTTTAAATACTTCTGCATAGAGTACTTCTAGATATTTTTGCACAAATATCTTTAAGTATTTCTGCACTATATAGCAATTATACTATTATATTTCTATCTGTAAAAAAGTTATAAAAAGAGAGTTTTATCTTCTTTTATTCAAGTTAGAGTTTTACTACTCTTATAAAAAATTTCTCTACTCTTATAGAGAGATTTTCTACCCTCTTATAGAATCTAGTCTATCTCTTTATTCCTCTCTATTGTAAAGTATGATATTTTCTCTTTAGGGTAATTTTTACAGACAGAAATATAATAGTATAATTGCTATATAGTGCAAAGATACTTAGAGGCATATATAAAAAGACATCTAGAGATACTTTGTACAAAGGCACTTAGAAGCACTCTGTGTAAAGATACTTGAAGGCACTTTGTATAGAGGCACTCAGAAGTACTTTGTATAGAGATACTCAAAAATACTTTATATAGAGACACTTAGAGGTACTCTGTATAGAAGCACTTAGAAGCACTCTGTGTAAAGACACTTGAAGACACTTTGTATTGTAATATAGAGAGCTGGCCTTGCTAACTATACTACTTGACTTAATGTGAAGAGGGTAAGGATATGTGTATATAAAAGGTAAAACTCAAATAAAACTCAAAGAAGACTCAAATATAACTCAAAGGAAATAAACTCAAAGGGTATAAACTC